AGAACGGGTACTCATACTTGTGCAAGATTATTTAAATATTCTCCATAAGGGCCTATTTATCCTTGCCAGTGATGGAAAACCAAAAAAACATCGTTCATAAGGAAGCCCTGATTTAAAACAGGATCGTAATTTGAAACATAAGGTGTGAATTTTTTCATAAATTCACGAAATAGTTTTTAACTATCAAAATATGGAACGGGGAAACAGAGAGAGTAGTTTTTTTTTTTGCCTGTTTTTTCGAAAACCCGGGCAACGCTGGGTAACGCTGCTAGTATATATATAAAGCAGAAGTTTCGTCTGTGTATTGGCTTACACGATTTTAACTTTACTTGAAATGAATTCAGTAGCCACCAGGAAATGCTATAGGGGGCGGCGTTCAGATCTTAACTTTCTGTCTGTCTGCACGGCTAGGTGGTTAGGGAGCTCGACTCGCAAACTGCGGGTCGCGGGTTTGAATACCCGTCCCACCAAACATGCTCGCTCTTTCAGCCGTGGGGGCAGAATAATGTGACGGTCAATCCCACTATTCGTTGGTAAGAAAAGTAGCCCAAAAGTTGGCGGTGGGTGGTTATGACTAGCTGCCTTCCCTCTAATCTTTCACTGCTAAATTAGGGGCGGCTAGCGCAGATAGCCCTCGTGTAGCTTTGCGCGAAATTCAAAACAAAAAACTGTCTGTCTGTATGTCCGGAAAAAAATAAAAAATTGTGGCAGGTGTTTATTTTTAAAAGGGAAGAAATTACTTTCCTCAACTGGGATGTTTAGGTATATTAATATTCCACTTCGCCCCTCTAGTGGAGATTACGTTGAATTAAAGTGGGCTTTTAATAACTGTATTATTACTGTTACATATTGTGTATAACACCACCATATACGTATTGTTACATATCACGTAAAAAAGCTATTGTTACTCCAAAATCTAACACTGTTGCTCATTCATTTCAACAGTGTAATTCACCAACAATGTATTTATCCTTAACGTTTTACTAACTACACTTACCAACAACAACCGTTACACATACATGAACCCATCTTAACAACCCTGAGAATTATGACCAACAACCATGCGTAATGCAAAACCGAAACCTGATCAGAATTTTCAAGGGAAAAAAACCGGTTTATATATTTCATAGTACCAAATCACTTCTTACGAGTTATACACATTATATATATAGATGATATCAGGTGTTGTATCTGAGAACGAAAGACTGAGTCATACTAAGTAATAAGCTTAGCGTGATTAAAAAAAGGAAAATCCAAACAAAACAAGCCAGGTGCATTATCATGCTGAAACTTAGTGTTTCATTATGTAAGACTTGAATGATGGAAGCAATACAATCATAACAGACTACAAAAGTATTTATAAACAATTCCCCATATTTAAAATTACACCACACCTTCTTCTCCGGCCCGGCATGGCCAGGTGGATAAGGCACTCGACTCGCAATCTGAGGGTCGCGAGTTCGAATCCCCGTCCCACCAAACATGCTCGCCCCTTTTAGCCGTGGGGTCGTTATAATGTGACGGTCAATCCCACTATTCGTTGGTAAAAGAGTAGCCCAAGAATTGGCGGTGGGTGGTGAAGACTAGCTGCCTTCCCTCTAGTCTTACACTGCTAAATTAGGGACGGCTAGCGCAGATATCCCTCGTGTAGCTTTGCGCAAAATTCAAATACAACCAAACAAGACAGACAGAAAGACGCGTCGTATGTCTCACAGTTTTAAGATTTTAGTGAAATCTTGGCAATATAAAAACATTTGGAATTAATAACAGCTGCTAATAAATCATTTGGAGTTTATAGAAACTCCTGCAATTACGCGTATTACAAAACCTCAAAGAAAAAACAACCTTACAACCTATTATCTCATTGAAAAAAAGTAAAAAAATTATATTCCAAAAGATGGCAATAACAACATCTGGGTTTTTACTTACTCTGATATACCACTCTGCTTATCTCTGACTTTTGAACTGGCCAACCACTCTGAATAACTCTGAAAACCAATCAATCACGCACAACTCTGCGGCTTTATAATCGTATAGACTCCAGGAAAAGGACACAAAGAAAGAGAACACTCACAGGTCAAATACAAATACATTGGGACCATTACTTCTTCGGGTTCCATTTTTATGTCCTCAATATTCATTTACTTCGACCTCTATGCTGTCTGCCTCCTCGCGGAATGTGAACAGATGAACGTTATTTGATACACTAAGTGAAAGCCTTGAAGGATTCTTTGCTGGAACCAGGTCATGGAGTAGAGTTACGCATACAACCTTGGTTTCTTAGTCGAAACTGAACCTCGAGATATTCTCACAGGTGTTTAGTTATTTAAAATCATAACTATGGGAGGGGGGGAGTACAAAAAATATTACCTAGTATTCGGAAAGGGGCTGGTGGTTACGGTGCTCGACTTGAAACCTGTAAGTCGTGGAATCGAAATCAGTCGAATACGCTCGTCCTTTCAGTCCTGGGTGCGTTATAATGTGATTGTCAATCCCACTATTCGTTGGTAAAAGAGTAGCCCAAGAGTTGGCGGTGGGTGATAATAACTAGCTTCCTTCCCTCTAGTCTTTCACTGCTAAATTCGGGCCCGGCATGGCCAGGTGGTTAGGGCACTCGACTCGCAATCTGAGGGTCGCGGGTTCGAATCCCCGTCACACCAAACGTGCTCGCCCTTTCAGCCGTGGGGGCGTTATAAAGTGACGGTCAATCCCACTATTCATTGGTAAAAGAGTAATCCAAGAGTTGGCGGCGGGTGGTTTTTTATTTCATTCAAGACCCCGACATGGCTCAGTCGTTCTCGGCTTATCACACTTGTTTTTATTTCATTCAAGACCCAGACATGGCTCAGTTGTTCTCGGCTTATCACACTTGTTTTTATTTCATTCAAGACCCTGACATGGCTCAGTCGTTCTCAGCTTATCACACTTGTTTTTATTTCATTCAAGACCCAGACATGGCTCACTCGTTCTCAGGTTTTATTTCATTATTTCTTTCCTATATGCTTGATTATTTGTTTTAAAATTTTATCAGTAGCAGAAACTAGGCGATCCAGTTGATTCAAAGCAGAATGCGAAGCATATGGCGATACATTTGTCTGGTTGACCAGTAACAGTGAAGGTTATGACAGGATCATACTCTTGACAGATTTCCTAAACCTCATCATAAAATTGGAAACAGATTTTTCCAAAGTACATACGTAAAATCTTCCAGAGACTTGAAACCTAATCTGATAACCTATCTTACAGGTCATAGCAGCATTTCATTCAATGAGAAAGTGGACCACCTAGCTGTTAAGCCACAACCATTGGGTGACCTGGTAAGATCTCTGAATGATGCCCTTAATGAAATAATATGTAGACCGAGGAAACAGGAAAACATGGAATAGAGGTCACACTGGTCAACTTGTTTGTTTGTTTGTTTGGAATTTCGCGCAAATCTACACGAGGGCTATCT